GATGCATTGTTGTAATGACGCTCCTCCGTTCTGATGCATGGGAAGCGCCAAGTTCCGGAGTATTCGAACCGGGAAGACCTACTTGAGAAGGCTGGCGGAAGCTGGACGGCTGGTGATAGTGATGACTGTGAACCACTGTTGACGATTTGTGAGCATTTTGTTGGTCCGTCCGTCCATCGGCCGGTCTGCCTTCTGTCTACATGCTCGTTTCTCTCTCTCTCTCTCTCTCTCTCTCTCTCTCTCTCTCTCTCTCTCTCTCTCTCTCTCTCTCTCTCTCTCTCTCTCTCTCTCTCTCTCTCTCTCCTCTCTCTCTCTCTCTCTCTCTCTCTCTCTCTCTCTCTCTCCTCTCTCTCTCTCTCTCTCTCTCTCTCTCTCTCCTCTCTCTCTCCCTCTCTCCTCTCTCTCTCTCTCTCTCTCGCTCTTTGTAACTGTATCTCTCCCGTTCTCCCGACACCGCCCCTCCCTCCGACCACAGCCGTGCGTGGAGCAGCGCTTCGCCGTCACCACCGTGTTCGAGCGCTGGCAGATGATGCCGTCCAGCATGGTGCGCATCTTCTTCGACCACACGATGGAGCTGACGGAGAGCCGGGTGTCCTACACGCTGGCGGACCTGATGTCGGACACGGGCGGCGCGCTCGGTCTCTTCCTCGGCCACTCGCTGCTCAGTCTGGGGATGGTGACCTGGGACGCGCTGCAGGCCGCCTTTGGCTGGCTGCTGGGGGCTGTCGGCCGCCACCCGAGGCGGGACAGGGTGCTCCCGTTGGCAGAGAGCTTTGGCCAGTGACTGAGCACAACAGATACTGAGCGTGAACTGAGCTGAAGAGTAACTGAGCGGATAACGATTGGGAGGGCTGGTGGTGGCTTCCCGTGAACCCTCACTGTGTTACGCCTACGGGCTTGGCAATGGGGATTATTTTAGAGCGGTGGTCCTCTATAGGACCACCGTTCTAAAAGTCCAATAGCAGATAGTCTAAGGGCTCGTCCGTCAAGGAATGTCCATCGAACACGCCAGAGGAGTTTTGCAGTGAAGCTGTTCTCTCAAGTGAAAGCTGGCGCGAAACAGTCCTGACTACGTAGCTCTAAATGAGAAACATTAGGCCACTTTTGCATCGTACACTAGGCACCCATAGGCTAGCGGATGCTCGAAATGTTGCAAAACCCGAGACAACCAAAAGCTTTGTTTCGCGATTTATACATACTGGTCGGCTGAAAAATGTTTTGACTGAAAATTCAAAGCATCCAGAACTAATGCCCCCTACGCTCGCTTCTGTCGAGGAACTCGTATTTCTTTAACAACTGCTAATTTGACTGAAATGCCTATTGACATTATAATTAGTCTCGAAAAGAAGTGCGTTAAATTTTGGTTTCAAATGTTGTTCCAGAGAGCTACTAAATGTTATGGGCTTCACAACGATCATATGCCCATGTGCACAAATAGCGTAGCCCGTGAATAACACGTTCCGTCGGTCTTGCACAGCTTATGGTTCTTAAAAAACATCCAGACATGTCACAAAATACTACTGGTAAACTCGGACTGTTTACCTGGTCGCAGAGCTTTTACTCTCTCACTCCACACAACACGTCTACATACTTCATGCTGGAAAAATCCGATATCAAATACATTGTATTAACGTTGGACTCAGGTTCTCCAGACAAACTCGTCAGGCGCGTTGCAGTTTTTTCATGTGACGCCTTATCGAGGTTATATAAGGGTCAATGCAGCTGCGTAGTTTCTCAAAATGAGAGTGGGGGGGGGGGGGGGCTGAACATTGAAAAATGAACAAACCTAGGCACAAAGTATGTCAACAAACAGGCTTTTTCTCCAGATCTGGCCGACTTTCTTACAAAAGTTGGAAAACACTAGTCGAAGGGCGGGGAGAATGGGTGAAACCCCAACTTAATTAAAAACTACGCTCTTGATCACCACGCACGGCATGTACTGCTACCAACGTGTGTGTGTGCAACTAATGAGCTACTAATGTGTCTGCAAACGTACAAGTCTTTGCAAGTGTGAGCCTGTCTGACGTACTCGCCATCATCATAATTCGTTGGCCCTTGGCTACCTTCAATTAGCTGGTCCACCGCCACAGATTTAGTTCATCATTAGATCGAGCCACCAATGTCCTATGAGCGAGCATTCTGCACCGTCGTGTGCATTCTTAATCACCCGTAGAGCTCTCTTCATGCATTGACAGCCTATAAAGCGTAATGGGCAGATTTGTCAGCACCGGGCAGGTCTGGTGTATGTGATGCGCGAAGTGAGGTACCAGGATGAGAGAACAAGTTTCAAACAAAGCCCGAAATAGCTGCAACAGTTTGCTCGGGCTCCACGTCGAAGAAAGTTAGAAGAAACGACGGGCGCTGGTGTCCAGTGGTAGTCACATCGCCTGCACATGATGGGAGAGGCTTCTCTCAGTTTAGGCCCATTGTCGTCTGCAAGCCTTTTCGGATAATATGCTTAAGCTTGTATAATAAGTTGTATAGTCTTACTGATTCGCCTGAACTAATGCATTAATATATAGGCTAATACATCTTGACGCTTTTGTGCGAGAACCAACAAATGGCTTGACCAAGACCCGTAAGCAAGTTAGCTTCAGTCCAGTGCACTCACTGCGGACCCTTACCAGACAAGAAACGACTCGAAATTTGCAGCTCAACCAGAACATGAGGACAAAAACATGTACTTGAGCGTAGGCAAGGCAGCCTATGCAGGCAATTATACAGCGCAGGAGATTATGGGTATGCCGTACTCAGGCATTCATAACGCTGGGGCCGAAATACCAGGATGAAAAAGAGGAATAAAAAGAGGAAGAAAAAGGGGCTGCCGCTAATCTGGCTACGCGTAAAAGGTGCCGCCTTTCACAGTGGTATGCTTAAGCGTGGTTAGCCTGAAGGCGTGATAACCAATTCGAACATTTCCCAATCGCCTGTTGAACCTTTTCACAACTGGAACTGCCGTAACTGTGCATAGACAGTTACCCACGATAGTATAAGCTTACCCGAATCCCTCCACCTAGAAGTTTCATGCGGTCTCTCTTTCTCCCCCTCTCTCTCTCTCTCTCTCTCTCTCTCTCTCTCTCTCTCTCTCTTCTCTCTCTCTCTCTCTCTCTCTCTCTCTCTCTCTCTCTCTCTCTCTTTCCGCCCCCTCTGTTTTTCCCTTATTCATTTTCATTTTTACATGTCCGGACGTTTCTGGCAACTGCCATCCAGTCCAATTTCTTCAAAATTGTAGTGATCAGTGCTTACTGCTTATGGACAACTACCATTCCCTCAAGATCACATCTGTCCAGCACTGACACTTCGCTGCGACCCCTTGCACACGTACCGCTCATGGACGTTAGAAATTACTTATCGATACAAGCACCTGTGTTAATGACAAACTATTCCTCACACTGACTGGTGGACAAGGAGCACAGAGAGATTCTTGAAACTGGAATCGCACCTGTGACCTTTTAATCCAACATGTGTAATTCCACAAAGTTTCACGGAATGATTGGTACGAGGTGTTCTTATTACGAACAGAGTAGTTGTTGGTGCTGACGCTCTCCCATGGTGTCCTTACTTTGGTCCTGACGGGGGTCGATGCAACCCCTGAGGTTGCTTTAGGATGCCCCTTTGGCATGCCGTGCAACCACGCCCAAATTTCCAGTAGCCTGTAGTTATAGGATACCCCTTTGGCATGTCGTGCAACCACGCCCACATTTCCAGTAGCCTATTGGGCAGCCATGCACTTGTTTTAACACCCCAAAAACGTATCCCTACCACTTTGGGGTTACGGGGATCGACGGTTTTTGGGGAACACTGCACGACGATCTACGGCCAGTGCGGCCGGGAGGGGGGGGGGGGGGGGCGGCAACCGACCATGCCGCGGAATGCGTGCGGTTGGCAGACATTGTTACGTTGACGGGGTCATGCATCATCAATCAATGACCACACCGCATAAAGCCATACCCATTGTACTCCAGATCAAACAGAAAGCACGCCTGTTTAGGTTTTTAGTGTCATTACGAGCTATGGGCTCGTATCCGCGAGGTTGTCAGGTTTTAAGCTAGTAACTAAACACTCATTACCACTGCGAGGTCTTGTCGGGGGTAATTCGCCGGTGTTTTCCGCTAAGCTTTATCTTTCTTACTTTGGAAACGGCAGGGGGGTCGCATCGACCCCCGCCGTTTCCAAAGTCATCCATCAGGGCGAGGGCTTATCTGTACATGACGCTTTGGTCCGTGAATTTGCGGCAATCATCAGGTGTTCTTGAGTCTTGCAACATGTCACCTGGGGCATATTGATCTGCTGTGGGCCAATCGTTTTTTTTTTCTCTTCCTTTTCAGTGCGAGTTTAGTTTTCTTGTCCTGGCATGCTTGTCCAGAGACCGAGTCAAACGCGACAATCAATTATGGGAGTGTCTTTATATACGCTGACCATGTTGAAGGACGATATTCGTTCAAGTAATATTCATTCGGATTCGCAATCCACAGCTGCTTAACTTCAGCTGGACTAGTCGCGGGCAGCGACGGAGGAAGAATAACACGGTGCGTGGGCGATGGCTTCTCGCGGATAACGACGGAGATAGCTGTGCGCAGCACTTAGGCTGCTACAGCCGCCTACGTTTAAGGTCTCACTTCATACAGAAATTAGGGAGTTTCGCGATCTCCCTAATTTGTTAGATAGTTTTGCACGAGCTACCCATGCCACTCTCCGCACGGCTCCGCTATGCTGAGTTTTCGAGATGGCAGTGTGTTTGTCAGAAGTGGCGTCACCGAGTTTGTAGATTCAGAAGGCAGCGTGAATACCGGGACAAAAAGCGCGCAAAGCTAGACAAACTCACTCCATTAGCTCATTTCTAACTCACCCCATTTTCATCGGATTCCCAGATTTAATGTTCCAACTCAGAGGAATTGTAGGCCTGCCGCCCCATCATCTCTTCTGGCGATGTCTCCGCCTGGGTGGACTCTTCACCCGGCGCGGATGAGTAAAGCGCCTTCCCAGCGAAGGTATCCTCTTTTCATGCATGTATTGCTGGACTTCACGCCCACCAGTTCGACAGATGTACGGCAGAGCCTGTTCACCCAGAGCTGCCGCACGTCACAAAAACAACACACAGTCCCATGCTTTGGCTATAAGTACCTGCCTATAAATGATCCGTACTGTAAAACAATATCACATGAACGATGGGTGCTTGCATGTTGACAACATGACTAACATGACAGCGCTAAACGCACTGTCATGCGCTAATGTGTGTGTATGCGCACATTACGTACATTACGTACATTACATGCGTGCATGCGCGCGCGTATGTGTACGAATGCGCTAATCACATGTGGTCCTTGCATCCATCATCAGCAAAGCCTTCCGTGCTTCGCGTTTCCGGCTGCAGGCCTTAGCGCTGCTTATAGGGCCCTTAAAGCATCGCCGCTCTAGTGATAGTGGTGCAGTGTGCACAGCGTGCTCGCCGACCGATAGCAGACGATGAAGTGCGCAGCTGTCAGCCCTGGTCCCCGCCTGGGCTAACTGCCTATGGCGGACAAGCCATAGTGATTACAACATTTACAGGTGTTGCCGCGGAACAGGTAGCTAAGCAGAAAGAACCACGCGTGCTGCTACGAGCGAGATGGCTGTCAGTATAGAGCAAATTACCTGCTGGGAAAGTTGCTTTTGAGTCTAGGTGGGCCGCCAGTTCTCACACGACAGATACCTGTGTAGGTGGTTCTATGTAGAAGACTGCAAGACACGTAAATACATTGGTTCCCACTAGCCTACCACGGGGAAATGACTGTGCTTTGATATAAATCCCTTGTCAGCTGTGCGCACGGTTAAGATGACTGTGGTCATGAGCTACATTGCCAGTTGCTACAGGGCAGACCGCGTTCGGTACATAGCTTGTAGTCGGTTGCTTCAGGGAGCTTACCATGGTCCCAAAGCCCTATCGGGTGCAACGTGAGAAAGTGCGCAGATTCCACGAGATGTTGGGTCCGATTAACAGCCGCGATTTCTGCATCTCGCCGACCGTCACTGGAGGAGGAGATAGCTGAGTCGGCCACGGTCTGCTGTGGCGGCCCGGCGCCAGCTGCGGGTCCGTTCGGACGCCGGCTGTGGGCTCGTTCGGCGCTGACTGCGAGCACGTTCGGCGCCGGCTAGCGGACCCGTTCGGCGCCAGCTGCGAGCCCTCTGTGCGCTCACAGGTAGGTGGCATGCGACGTCTGAACCATCTCCTCCTCGGACTGTCATCCAGTGGTGCTGCTACGCACCGACCGCATCACCTGACCCAGGGGCGCAGCCGGGAACAGTGGGTCAACGGACGAAATGGACAACAATGCGGGATAAGATAAACCGACAAGCACGTGGAGCAAGGTGGTGTGCACTTAATATCCCATCGGAACCACGTCCCCCCCCCTCTCCTACCAAATTTAGGTCGGGTATGAATGGGCACTTGCCTAAATATTCGCAGGTAATAGGCAGATAGAAACATGCTGCGCTGTTTTACAATGAACGCGAAATTGCGCGGAGCACGCTTAAGTGAGCAGTGATTTATTCAGCTGTGCCACTCACCATTGTGAAATCTAGCAAAAAACCCCTGACGTGGAAACTACAAATAAGAGGGCAGAATACGAACGACCTTGAACAAAGTTGTCGCGAAAATGGCAATAACACACGCCAGAAATACAACGATAGGATAGCGGTGGGAATCGAAGTGGCGCGTGGGGGCTCTATCCCAAACAGGATCACCAGATGCAAAGCGTTCAGTAACGAGGGTGCTTGCATGGGGCGAGTACGTAGTAAGCGACGGCGATGCATATGCCCGGCAGGTGGGGTGGGAGCGCAGTTCGCCACGCCTCTCACCCTGCTGATGACGTCGTCACTATCGTAGCCGTCCTTCCGGCCGCGCGCCACGCACACCACCAGCGCGGCCACCAACGCCGCCATCAGCAGGACGCACAGCGCCAGCAGCAGCCACGTCGACACCTGGTACGCGAACGACTCGGTGGCCAGGCCCTCAACGAACGGTATCGTCTCCAGCCAGAACGCCGCCCGCCTGGGACAGTCGGAGACATCAGTGCGGTCGTTTGTTCGGGCAGGTCGCGCGCTGACAGTGAAATGGCTGATGCACGGCCTCAGACGGTCACGATACAAACACAAGGGGCACGATGCCTCGGGAAAAGTGTGAAAGATGTGCCAGCAAGATGTAACATCAGGTGGATGGCACAGGCCATCATCTTTGCTTTTGTGCACTTCTCACATCCTGTAGCGGTAAGTGTGGTGGCCTCGCCGCATTCAGTTGTGATAAAGTTGTTATTCGCGGGCCTGTCCGCCACCGTGGATAGCGCCAGATACGCCTGACGAGCCGCTCAGGCTCCGTGGTCAGGATGGACTCAAATTACACGACAGGTGTAACGTTGTGCAGTTTTGGGAGGTGTCCTCCGGGGTGTTCGGACACCAGTGGCAAAATCTAGACGGACAGAGTTTCGACCTACTTTCACCCGAATTGTACGACCAACGTATCACCATGTCAAATCACTGACTGACGTCGCTGTCAAAGATCGACACAGCGGTAAGGGGAGAGGCCGGAGGTCCGCAATGTGTTCGTGGTGCTGCACCTCTCACGCCGTCTTGCCTGAGGATCCTAGAAATGTAAGGCGTCTGCAGATTGAGTGTCAGCGATGACCATGAACTTCACTGAGAAATAAAGGCATTCAAGATCTAGGCCGTGGACACCTTTTTAAAGGTCTCCACCATACACGGCACTGTTATGGTATACAAATATATGACTGGCATGTCCTATTAGTGCACCAGGTCGATTCAGAGCCAGGGGCCCATCAAATTGGATCAGAATGTGCCCCCAGCGAATTTTGACACTGGAATAATCCTATCTTTGCACATTGTGCTTGTGCTACACGTCATCCAAGGTCAATGCCATGGTGCGCAATAGAATTGTAATGTTGTGTCAATGCAGTGCCTTGTAATATGGATACTTGTCCTTTCAGAAAGTGCGGAACGTCAGGGGCACAATGACGTTGTAGAACTCTATTTTCCAGTTTTCCTCAGATTAATAAAGCTTTCTATGACACTCGATGGTTTGCAGGCGGGTCTGTGCGAATGACTAAAAGTGTTTTTTAAGGATTTTTAATCTCTCGGTATTCCCATATGGCCTTGTGGTTTCAAGCATGACCAATGCCGATGCCGTAACTTTTGGCGCCTTGGCCACCGATCAATGACCTTTTCGTGAAACGTCACTTTGACATTATCCGAAGTGCCGAAAATTTAACGTTCTTATTTTAAACCTCTAACAGATTCATAATATTCGGTAGAGGGTTACCATCTCGTCTCATCCGTATTTTTGCCGAAGTCCTCTGGCGTGATGTCGACCAGAGGTTGTGCCAACGGTAGGCGCGGACGATGACGAAGCGATCGGAATAGCGGCGTTGACAGCGTGAGGAACAGCATGAGCCAGTGGTGAGCTAGTACTAACATTACAAGCTGACGTATGGCTTGGCAGCGGTAGCATTCATGTTTACCCGGGCTTTGTAGTTCTGCAGCAGTGGTAGCGGCATTACAGAGAGGTTGTAGTACGCGATTTGGTCGCCAGAGCTCGGTGTCCACGGTGGTCGGATAGGCGAGTCTGTTCCCGGAAGCGTCGGAGCACTATGAAAAGCGTCAAGCGCAACAATTAGACCTCGTTCATTTCCAAACCAAGTTCATTGCCTACCAATGCTGGATCATGCCGAAACAGTGCCAAGTTCACACAGCCTTCTGAGTGCGATCATTGCAATAGATGATAGCAAGGGCATTCAACACAGCCCGACAAACTTGCCGCTCCTGCATCAATCCTCCCCAGCTGCCGAAGCAGCTGCTTTTGCTCCCCGCCAGCGAACGATGTTTTCTCGGAACCCAGGGGTCAAACGCCGGGAGCAGCGCTGACTGACCCAGTGCGCGCGAAGTTGGCCCAGTTGGCAGTCATCAACTCTGAGAGGTGCTGGTCCGTGGCCGAGTACTGGCCGAACGAGATGGGCGCCCAGAACAGGTAGAGTAGCTCGTCGCCGTGACTCACACCTGGGGCCCGACACAGACCGGTGAGCGGGCGGCCAGGTCCCGCGTCACGCCCGCGGAACTCATCCACGAGCTGAGAGCGGAGCGGGGGAGGGAGGGAGGTAGGGAGAAGGACGGAGAGAGAGAGAGAGATAGAGAGAGAGAGAGAGAGAGAGAGAGAGAGAGAGAGGAGAGAGAGAGAGAGAGAGAGAGAGAGAGAGAGAGAGGAGGAGGGAGAGGAGAGAGATGAGAGGAGAGAGAGAGAAGAGAGAGGAGGAGAGAGAGAGAAGTGGAGGAGAGAGAGAGAGAGAGAGAGAGAGAGAGAGGAGAGAGAGAGAGAGAGAGAGGAGAGGAGAGAGAGAGAGAGAGAGAGAGAGAGACAAAACTATGTTCCAGTGCACAAATGTCTCCTCATTCAGGAAACCAGTAAACGCGCAAACATCAGGATAAACGCCGAAAAAATACAATGACATCTCAAAATTACACTCAACGAAGGAATAAGCTCAAAGGTCTTCCTATAACAAGCAGGTCCACTCAACCATCTCACCATCTTAATGGCGCCTAAGGTTATGCTGGAGCAGCAATACAGATCCAGACTGCAGATCATCACGGGTTTCTGTCGAGTGAGTCCCACACGGCCTGGCGCGGCGCCGCCGGGACGTTCCGGAGCTGGGGGGCGCCGTACCGGAGTCCAGGAGCGGCGCGTGCAGGCCGCGGCTGCGGAGGCGGCCGGCCAGCGGGCGCAGGTGGCTGGGGCCGGCCGGGAGCCGGTGGGAGAACAGGTAACTGTAGACGGGTCCGGCAGCCGCGTGCAGGCGCACCGTCACGTCCAGGCAGGCCGTGTACCAGGCGTCGGTCAGCAGCTGGGGGTGGCACACGCTCTCGGTGAGGGTGGACGGCGGCACACCGACGATCAGTGGCACAAGAGTTCTCATATGGTGGGACATCCACCGAGGACGGAGGCCTCGAAAATGGAAACGACAACCATATGTGGCCGTATGAGGGGATGTCTTGCACATATATGACTTCAGCCATATTATTTGGGTTTAACTGCACCTAGCCCACAGAAACTTTGGAGTGCGCCAGCCACTCACAGCCACAGGATCATGAACGAACGGAGGTCTGTCACCGCCAGGGTCCTCACCTCAGTTAGGCAAGGTATGACGTCAGACGGGCGGCCGTAGTCGATGCCGCTGAGGTAGTGGCTCTTGACGGCGGCCACCAGGGTCGCCTGCCGGCTGTAGTTGTAGCTGAACAGCTGGTCCAGGGTCCAGTCCACCACCTCACGCTCCATGTAGTAGCCGTCCGTGGGCCGCTCCGCCTCCAGGTACTGATCTGCCGCCAGCACAGCACACGCAGACACGCTAAGGGGGCATCCAGTGGTCGGTGCGAGAACGCTGACCTGGTGCAGGCTCCCGCCCAGTCTCTGTCTGGCGCTAGCACCAACGTACCACCTGACTAGCCAGTGTGCAGCGAGCGTTTTGTCTCACACTGGTGTATACAACTCAAGCGGGCAAATCAACGATTACGAAACATCGGTTTTGCTGTAAATCTGAACTCAAAAGTGTATGCCATCGGTATTCGGCAAACGTCGAAAGTCATATTCGCTTCGGTTTCTGAAGCTGTTGTGTGCAAAGCGTGTTTGGGTAAATGAACGCGCACAAAGGCGGGTGTCGTTGTGAGTACGACATAAATGCGTCCGAAGATCAGTACCCAGAGCCATGCCGTGAGCGTGTACAGCGGGGACGCTCCACAGAGCTGTGACGGAAGCACTTACATATGACGAGCTGCAGGGCCTCGTCTCGCACGCGCCCCACCAGCAGCGGCAGCTGGGTGAAGTCGCGAGCCTCGAGCAGCGCCAACGGCTCGGCCGGCAGTACCGGGCGCGACCTCAAGTCAACGTCCACCACCGGACGCATGGGCCCGTTGAAGCCGACAAACCTCTGGCGGAACAGCGAGCCGTACGGAACGTGCGTGACGACAAACACGAGAACAACGCTTGACCGGCAGCGAATGGCCGTGTGCGTAAGGAAAATCAGCTACATAGTCCGGGAGAATGCGCAATAAATCTTACAACCGTACACGTCAGTGGCAAATAAAATACACTTAGCCTTTCACTGTCATGCGAAACGAGCAGATATCGGACAATCCATCTACAGAGAAAACAGCAAGACTATAATTTTGTTACTCAATGCGTCAAAACGGATCCGAGTTTCGGTGGCATCGTCATATTTGGGACGCAAGTGGCCTAAGGCCTTGCCGTGGGCTGTGGATGGGCAGCTTGTCCGCTCGGTGGCGTAAGACGAGCCAAGCTGTGCGTCTGCAGTCCTGTCGCCTCACCAGTCGCCTGTGGTGCTCCTTCACCAGCTGTTCAGCGGCCTTGGCCATCAGACATTGGCGATCTGCTCTGCCACAGTCGACGTCATCTGACAGCTGGGCTGCCGCCTCGTACGGCTCCCTCTCCACCGCCCAGGGGCACAGGCCGCTGCCGCTCTGCAGCACCACCCTCTGGAACAGACCTGGGGACGCAGGCGGTGTCTGGTACCACCTGCCGACTAGGATAGCAGGCTGCTGTCAGCCGGCAGCACCACCCTCCAGATAAGAAATGAAGGTGCAACGGTGCCTGGGTGTCATTCCTCTAAGATGGACACGGGCCGCTACCATCACGTAAAAGGCCGTGACCCGTTCCCCACTGAGAAACATCTTTGATGCTGGGCGGAGAAGTGGGCAGCCTACTGCTCGGAAGTTCAGCATCGTAAATATCGAAGCTGAACTGCGCTTTAGTGGCGCAGCACTAAAACACCAAGTGTTTGCAGCGCACTAGTTGGTTTTATTTGTCACGAAGTGGCGACAGGACAAAGAAAACAAACCAGCTTTTCGATGATGTCACCCATTCACGGGATTTCCAAAACCCATCTTGCCTTGGAAACTAGGCAGTGCTCACCCTTGGCCCGTGGTGACAGCATCAGCAGGTGAGCCATGGCCGCGCCGGCGCCGTGACCCAGCAAAGTGACCCGGGTCGGGTCGCCGGCGAAGTCTCGCGCCGTGTCCTTGACCCAGGTCAGCGCCTGGATCACGTCCAGCAGGCCGTAGTTGCCGGGTAGGTCAGTGTAGCCGGTGCTGAGGAAGCCTAGCGCCGGCCACGCCGACGGCCAGGTCAGCTGGGTTGGACATCGGCGCCACGGGCGTGGGCGGTGGTGACCGCGGGGATAGGAGGCGGCGACCGCGGGCTGGGCGGCGCGGCGGTGACACGGATCGGTGGACCCGACAGCCAGCGCCCGACAGGCAGCCCGTGTTGCGCGCGCGTCTTTGGCTGGGAACCCACGGTCTCAAACCGTGGAATGCAATTCCTGTCTTCCCGAGTAAAACGCGAATTCCCAGGACCAAGCACGTCATAAAGACAATAAGCCATTATCATTTCCTGTCCCGTTACTCGCGCCGATGGCTGTTGCATATGCATGTAGTACAGGTACGTGACTGTGTATAATTGCTATTGAGACCAAATACGAGCACATGTAAATATATGAATACACTGGCTCGTTAAGTTCCATCCCATAGTAAATAGTGTAGGGCATACGTGCCCAGGGTGTTCATTCGTGTCCTTTTGGAGCGGCCCTGTCTACCTTATTGATATGACCGCAAGGCCGGTTTGGTCCACCATTTTCCGCGTTGGGACGCTACGAAAGGGACAAAGTTCCATATCCCACAAAATTTCCGTTCATTGGCCACTACCTTATAGTCATGAATATTTTGCAGAAAAAATATTTCTATATTACAGAAAAAGGGAATTAATGAAAAAGGAGGCAAATGGAAAGCTCCCATTCTTCAGAAGAAAGTGGGCACACCTGTTCAGAGACCCACAGTCACAGGGGACGTCACAGGGGAGGAGCCGTGAACGTTGTGGGGACCTTGACGCGCTCCGCAAACAGTTATCTTTTTAACTTGTCCTCCTTCTTGAATCTATAAAAGGGGTCGCGACGCGCGTCGTCGCCAGCGGCGTGGCCAGGAATCCGCCCAAAGCGGCCAAATTGGGCTCTAAAGGACCCATTTAGGCAAGGGACTGCTCTTCGTCGCCAGTAGGACCGCTGTTTTATCCTTTACAGGCAATTTTAAGCTCGGCATTTTATTTCGATGCCTCCTGGGAAAGCTCTTCGGTGTTTTTAAATGATTGCAAGCGTCTTTAACTGCCAAAAAAGGACTAGGCCGTCGGCCCCAGATACTCATCGCCACCTTCGCGAGGGGGGGGGGAAGTCTCCCTCCATTTGGCTACGCCACTGGTCGTCATGAACTCAGCTATGGAAAGCCAGGGGGTGCGGAGGCCTTATTGGCTCTCACGGACCGTGGCGCCACCGGTGTTCGAACCGGGCTCCCACGGGGGAGCCGAAGGCGCTAGCCACGCGTCCATTATGCCTCCTAAGTTGATGTCACTGTGCGTGCACGCGTGTGCAAGGGAATGCTAATGAACACGCGGGAATGAATACAGTTGTGAATGCACTGAGCTTGTCACTCAAATGTTTAATATTTGAATTTAAAAGTCCTTATCGATATCTAATGTGCATGCATGTACAGGCACATGGTCATTTCAGCGAGCGCTGCATGACTTACAGCAGTACATGCGTCCCCAAAACCCCAAATCATCATGGTCATTGCAGTATTAAGCTCCGACGCCTACAGACAGAAGCATGTATAGCTATGCAGTAACGCAATGCATTTAGACCCTTTCTGGCGATTCTTACTTATTTGACCATGCATTTCGTCAGCACAAGAATAGTTGCTGTATGCACATTGGATGTGTCTGAAGGTATAATACAAAAAGGTGTGTTCATGTGCAACTGTATATCAATTGACAAACATTATCATGTACTTTTGTGAAAACATAATCGTACTTATCCAGAAAGTGTGCATTAACCATATATCATACGTGAGGGCAGGTTTTATCTCCCATTGTCTTCTTTGTCTTTTTGATTGCTGTTTGTAACCCATGTAACTCAGGTTAGCTAAATCTTACGCCCGGCAGGGAATAAGGCTAAACCACTAGAGCAGTACAAATGGTTAATGGGCAATAGCTAAGACACGTGCGTTCAGCGCCTCCAATGACAGCAGCGACCCCAGAAGTATGTGTGCGCGGCGTACATCATGCCAAAAGCATGAATATAGGACAACGCATTGAATCTTCAGCAAGGTGAATGTAAGCGATTTACCAATGCCATGAGGAAGCAATGCATAGTAGGTATCCGTGACATATGGCAAAGGAAGACAGGCGGCGGCCAGTTCAAAAGAAAAGACTACAATCGGAGCGAGCCCATCCCCGCCCCATGGGAAAGTCCCATCGAAAAGGTTATGACCCGTTCGAAGCTTTCTTTAACGCGCACTTGTGTCTGAATTCATGTGCATCAAGGAGCATATGAACTTGTCAAAAAATATGCATCCGAGATCTTGAAACCTCTGGCAGCATACATACACAGGCCTAAAAGCTAACGGCAGCGGGCGGTTCACGTGGGACTTGTCCACGTGCGTGAACTTCATGGGAATCAGCCGTGCAATATGACACTGTCATCAAACGAGACCGCTACATCAGTCATGTTCCAAGACGCTTTAAGTTTGCTTTGTATGCCTCAAGTTAAAAGTCCTCGTAAAACCGCATTCTTCACGTCAAGCCTAGTTGCACCACATCCTGGCCTGCAAATGCTCGTCACATTATGCATGAGATGCGTTACCGTCCTAAAGTACTCAAGCATTGCAAACACGGCAGTTATCACGGCCATCCTCGCCAGCTGGGAGCGGCGCCAAGCTGCAAGAGCGTTGCGAGCCGGCCACCGCCACTGACCGAGCACGCCGAGCCGGTAGTTGATGGTGACGAGCACCAGGTCCTCGCGCATCATCCGCTGCGGTCCCAGCAGGCTGGCGGCGCCCCGACTGAAGTCGCCGCCGTGCACAGCCACCAGCACCGGCAGCCGCCGACCCGCCGACGAGCTGGGCGGCGCCTGGCCGCTGGTCAGCTCACCTGACCGCCGGCGGGTCGGGTCCCGTCAGGTCAGGTCATGTCAGCTCAACGGCGCTCAAGGGGACGGTGCGGCGGATCTGACGGGCGGTATAACATTACGTCACAGATCGATGTATCAGTTCATCTTCGGGCCACGGAACGACGTAGAGGATGAGGTGAGGCGGGAGACCTGAACCGGATGCGACGCGGGCTATCAGGAACAACTTCGGTGTCTGGAAATGTCCTTCTCCCTTTATGGCAAAACCGTTTCAGCCAAGCATGCTCCTTTGTTTTAAATCCTTTGTTTTGTCTTGAGATCACCTTACCCGGCAGGAACGGCGTGTACACATTGAGGTAAAGACAGTCCTCGTTGCCCTCGACCGTTTCCGAGTTGACGTCGTACTGGGGGCAGAAGTCGCGGAAGCCCCTGGCGTCCAGCGTGCCGGTCCAGCCTGTCGGCCGGCTCCGGGTCCTGCAACGGTGCAGTACACACGAGCTCCGCTTACATCGCGAAGTGGTATGGTTGTTGCGGTCGTCGTTGTGTTGCTGTTGACATTGTTGTCACAGTGGTGTTGCCAGCCGCAGTAACACGTGACCTGGAGCCCGTTACGCCAGCAATTTGGCGGAAGCCGGTGTGGCGATCTTGGCTGTTTGTGGCCTTAAAATAAGTTGTGGGGAAGCATGAAATGTGTTACTGAGCTACACCAACAAGGTTGTAATATTGACGTTTCTATAAAAGTGGTTGAAATGAGTGTTTTTAATCGTTCCGGGGAACTAGCAACGAACGTTTAGCAAGCGATATGGTAGCTTGCAAGTTTGCGGACTGACAAGGGATGTTTGCCAATCTCTGTACATGGTCAATTGCTGGCTGGTCGATATCCACTTCAACTATAGAAAGCGTTTTCTATTGAAATGGACGCATATTTTGGTATATGGCTTTCCAAGCAGCCACCGCCAAAAACGTAGCAAGAGTACGGACCACAATAATTAAATTCATGCGTTTTTACTACACGCCTCGTGGAAGGCCGCTGTGAATGTTCGATGGAATTACGATGTAATTACTGCGCACGCGTTTAGCTTTAATCACTAGGCTGTGAGCAGTTTTCTTTAACAGCGACAATGTATGCAGTGCTTGGTGGAATTCCAAGGTGTACGCTGTCAAATAAATAATGCAGAAAAGTGGCGGTTGTCGCACAAAGCTGAACATAACAAGGTAAATTTATATGCCTCCTCCTTGTTGTTGTTTTTACACTGGGATTGTTTCACACGGTTTGTTACTTCCATAGCGGGGCTGAAGGCAGAAAGACAAGGATGGAAAAAAGTACATCTCCTAACATGTTCGAGCGATGCAAGCAAGATAAAGTGTATTTTTCCCGACCAGGCATCACAAAGTTTAAGAGGCACATTCGGTACATGCAGGGTCATATGTGCCCCAAGTTTCAAAACTGGGGGATTCGCGATTCCACCCCATGACGAGCATGGCCAATGCGCAGCACTCGGATTAGACCAAACACCCCATGATATAAGACGACTTACACATCTCATCGTAAATCATCTTCCAGGCGTCTGTACTATTTCAGCATGACAAATTCTGTTCACATTAACCCACATTTGGTGCAGTTTGGCAAGCCCCACCAAACACCTTTTGTTCTGTTGTGCCATTCCCTGAGATGATTGCGCGGGACCTGTGCACACATAGGCCCCGCACTTGCCTGATCCGCACATCCGCACATCTGACATGCCGACCGGGGACGGGTTAGTTATTTCGCACTTCACATCAGCGACTCCTCGCGCACCAGCATGCCTCTTAACCTATGGCTGACCCCAAGCGTCAAATCACAGCAACGTCCACGGACAGCCCGTTTGTTGATGCCCTTACAACCCTGGAAAATACGTATTAGAGTTTTTCTCGTTTTATCTGAGCTTGGCATTACCACAGTTATGCAGCCGGTGATTAATCCGTGATGGATTCAGCACCGACCCTGCCCCGAAAACAACTTATTTCTCTGCCATCAACGTGAAACATAGTCTTAAGCTGTAAAAGAGTGAAGAGTGGTTACAACTTTGCAGGCAAGTTTAAAACAATTGCACTGCTTGGAATTATTGATGATATTTCTTAGATATAAAGACATTTAAGAAGTATTTTCGACCTCCACGAGAGGAATTATCAGGGATGCAAGCAGTATTGTAGCCCATGGATATGGTGGGCCTCATCACAGTCTGTCCAGCCTACATCTGTGACATTGGAGGATCAAGAGACAATGAAGAGTGAGTTCTCATGAGTCAAGGCGTAAACCTCGTGAGTCAAAACGCAGTCTGGCAGGGAGGGATTTTGTTCGAATCTGTGGTAGTCAGGGCTGCTAAAACCATGCTCGCCGCACATGGAGCAGATAGCCGAAAGTTACCTGTCGCGTGACACATGCAGCTTTGTCGCAGTCTGACAGTCTTTTTGTCAAGACGATTGAAGATAAAGAAAAAGAAGGAGAACTGGAAAGTCGGCCAGCACCAAGCACCATTTCCGTTGTCATTCGCACCTTTTTACAGGGTCGCGGAATGCGATCCGCGTGACAGTCTGGCTACACCAACGAGCACAATATTCAAATGGCAACTTGCCCTTCCCGCGCCCTTCACGAAATTCCTGGTCACAGCTTAACAGGATCTAATAAAGGTTGATACAAGTTATGATCAACGTCATGGGCCAGTTGTTAACAGCAGGTCTTGATCCTCCAATGACACAGATGCAGGCTGGAAAGACTGTGGTGAGGCCCACCATATCCATAGGCTACGCTACTGCTTGCATCCCTGAGAACTTCTCTCGTGGAGGGACATTGCGCCTGCTCCACAGGACGCCACGACGGAGCCAGGCTGGCACCAGGTGTGTCGGAGCGACCATCGACCCTCGAGCGACCGGAGCTGTCGGTCCCCACGCATGCATAAGGTGGATCGCACCGCGGGCGCGATGGCCTGGAGATTGATTACTTGTGGGAGCGGAGGGTTGAAACGGAAAAAAAATATTTAGCGATCGACAGACATGACGGACAGTGAGTCAAATGTCCTGGGTCAAAACGTGAACCTCGTGAGTCAAAGCGTGAACCTGGTGAGTCAAAACGTCGTCCGGCCTGGTCCAGCAGGCAGGCTTTATAGAGGGTCACCCCATAACAGGAGCGGAGGCCATGTCATGTCAAGGCCTCAGAGTCGCCCAAAAACGATACTACTTATACGTTTACAGATTAACAGAAGCCCGGTTATCGTACATGATACAGAAGGAAAAGCGGAAAGACAAACAGCATCCAATCGATGGAGAGGACGGTCAGTAAGGCTTCAGGAGTTGAACATGGCACACGGGACGCGCATCAATGACCGGCGTCTGTCAGTCGACGAACTAACCAGATTTGTAAAGCCTGAGGGCACGAAACGCCCGCCAGCCTATGGAGTGGATGCCGGTGAGTTTGGGCCACACGGTGCCGGTGCGGCAGGTCAGCCGAGCGGTCCGCGCGGGGCGTCTCCCAATGGCGGCGGCGTGATCGGCGCTCACGCCGCCGCTGCTGACTGCGTGACTGGTTCCTCCCACACAGCGTGCACCGCGGCCTGAACGGCGCCGACAAACGCAACACACACAAAGCGGGCCGACCTGGGGCCATCCGCACGGACCGTGTCAAGCGGTGCCTCGGACAGGCACCGATCGCACAGCTCGATAAACCAAGCGCCGGTTCAGGACCGGATCCAGCTGAACCACGGCTCCAGAGAGCAATCACCGGAGTGAACTGAGGTTCAAGTGACTGAATTCGATTGCATTTCCCGCCTCAAAACCGCCACGAGGCGTTGTCACCGTCGTCAGGCGGCATCAATTCTACAAAGTCCCAACCACTGGGGTCGACTCCGCCCAGCCTCCGCTCCCGAGGCCTCCGAGTCCCGCACTCGCCGCCAGGACGCGTTACCGGCGCGCGCGACGGCCGTGCGTCGGGCCCACATCCTGGGCCGATCTGATGACCCGGTTGACCCGAACGGCGGGGCCGCGCGTCGAGCACCTCCCGCGCCGGCCGGCCGACAGGTCGTGCGACTCGGCCGCCGCCGCCGGGCCGCTGACCCCGATACGGGGCCAGGCCTTGGGCCACCACCCGCCTGACGTGCCAACCGCCCGGCATCCCGGCGTCCCGGCAGCTGACCTCGATGGGGCCACACAAGGGGCGACCTGGACGGCCAGACCACCGAGGTCTGCAGCCGGGCTGATCTCGCCCCGAGCCGTCCCTCTCTCTCTCTCTCTCTCTCTCTCTCCTCCCTCTTCATCTCTCTCTCTCTCAATCTCTCTCATCTCTCTCTCTCCTCTCCCTCCTCTCTCTCTCTCTCTCTCTCCTCTCTCTCTCTCGTCCTACCTCTCTCTCCTCTCTCTCTCTCTCTCCCTCGCTCTTCCTATCTCTCTCTCTCTCTCTCTCTCTCTCTCTCTCTCTCTCTCTCTCTCTCTCTCTCTCTCT